GAATTTACGACTACAATGTACGACGACAAATACGACGATTATATGTCCGAGAGTTACGACGATTTTACGACGAAATGAAGAAATACTTTACGATTGATTTACGACGATTCATGCGTCGTGCATTTTACGACGATCTTACGTCGACCATTAACGACCCCTTAACGACGGTCTAGGCGAAGACCAAGTCGACGAAATTCGATGTAAACTCGTCGTAAACTGTACGATGCATTTACGACGATTTTGTTTCCCTCGGCGTTACGACGAAACAAAACCGTCGTATATTATACGACGATTTTACGACGATTTGTCTATTACGACGATGATTTTACGAGGATTTCGAAATCGTCGGTAGTCCGTCGTAATGGCTCTATTACGACGAATTAACGACTATTTTGGTCGTTGTAAAATGATGTTTTTCTTGTAGTGTATGTTGTCACGCTGTATGCATGAGTCATTAATTTTTAAGGATGTTCAAAAACTTTTTTTAAGGATGTTGAATAACGTCATGTATGCACAATTTGGTTTGTTCTTTATAAATTGCAATTCCTGATTAAACACTATTTATTAATTTGTTATCTAGTCTTTCATATTAATTTTTAATCAAAAGTTGTTGTTGTACTTCTTTAACATTTATAAAACGGTTTAGAAATCCAAACTATTATATTTTTATATATCTTAAAAGAAAAGTACGAAAAGTGCTTACGGAAAAATTGTTTGCAACCATCAAGAAATAATTAGCTAATGAAAGTGCCACAACAATGCTCCAATGAAGCATAAAAATTTGTGTCAAATAACAAATCTTCAATTTCGATCGTTATCCCTATTGATATAACAAGGGAGATGTGCACTTGTAGATCAGGACACACATTAGTATCTAAAGACCTAAAATCAAAGCTAACCAAGTTTTTTTATCGCCAGCTTCTTCGCAACCAAGGCTGAGATGACATAGCTGCAGAAGAAGTCATATAGTTATCTGATTCCTAAGCTGGGGAACAGACATCATATAGAGAGTTTTGACTGTGTTTAGACTTAACAACTATAAATTAGGAGCACAACAAAGTAAAAAGGAAAATTAAGTAAAAACCAAAAGATTTTTTTATAAAAATTACAACGTCTGCTTTATTAGAATAGTTGGGAAGATATATAATCAAATATTTATACAACGAAAAAGGTACAAATAATTGAGATCGAATGAAGGGAAAAAAATTATGATGTATGTAAGATATATAAAAAGTCATCAAATGCAACCAAAAAATTTGTCGCTACATTGATGATACGAAGAATTAGTAAAAGAAAACTAAGGTCATTATATACCACAAATCATCACAATTTCAATCGTACCACAAATTTCTTTGGTACGTATAGATGGACTAATCGCAATTTAATCGAAGGTTAGTACATAAAAGTGAGGAGTAGATAAAATAAGCAGAAGAGTGGGAGGCCCATTTGGAGGTTCCACCAACTTGTCGTCGAGGGTCCTTCCGATTTTATTGAGTTTACCCTTTTCTCACTTATCAATTATCATTCATTTTTCCCTCATTTTCCCTCATTTCTATTATTATATTTATAATATGTCCATTTCAATTGTCTTATTAGTTATCAAATCATCACTCAGTAACCTATATTAGATGGTTGGTCTATCTCTGACTTTGAAAGGTACTGGATTTAATACCGAGACGTTGATGTTTTTCGATAATTTTGATAACGTATTAAAATTTTATTTGAATTAATGAATACGAATTCATGTTATTTCAACTGCTAAACTAAGCCGGGTTTATGTTGCTCTTCGATACGGCTACTCAAATGAAGACTGATCCATAATGACTATAAGCATTTCAGTGCATAGCGCAGACTGCTTTCTGACATATTTGCTATACATTTTCAAAACTAATATTTATTGAAAATGAATCACCAATTAGTCAATTACCAAACCATATTTACTTGTGTGATTCAAAAAAACACATAAAGAACATCACATGAAACGACATTCAGAGAAACATTTTCCAATACTGCATAGCTCAAACACAAGCTACTCCGAAGCAACTAATCTTACGCTAGAGCATTGGCTGCTTTTGCTTATTCAGATCATGCACTTGAAGCTATATCGGTTATAGTTGTTATATACGTTAGTATCATATAATTTCATATTATTAAATTTTGTTGGTAACCACATGTTATAACGATTTTCATAAATGTGTTCCCCCGCAGAATAATACCTTGTAACGCTCTTAATATTGTGATGAATAGTTAGCCTAATTTCTGATCTCAATTTCCAAAATTTGGAGATCGCCCAAAAACAGAGGAAAATAGATAAATGGCATTTTGGATGATATAGAGTAAACAGACACCGGATGATAACTAATGCTTTTTTTGTTCAAAAGATAAACTAATGCTTAGGCTGTGGAAAATGTTGAGACATAAGTTTCACAATATTGCTGAACTTAATCATTTCTCGATCGTTCGTTGAATATGGTTCTTAGTTTCTTACCACGTTGGTAAAATTCCGTGACTGATTCGTGTTGATCGTACATTTTACTTCTGTCGTATTCACATCGTTGATACAAACTTCAATAATTTAGATTTCACATCAGAGAAACGTAAGGACATATGCATGCACACGGTTGGGAATAATTTAAGAAAATGTAAGTATATTATAAATATATCAGACACTGTCTCTCAACAACCAAATCTTTAAGTGTTTTGTCATTTTGTGGGGTCCATCCGTGTCATCTTTCTAAAAAAATATCAAAGTACACGCATGTAAAGTGGATCGGAATAATTACACCCCCAAAAAGAAAACAAAAAGTTATTAAAAAATAAATAAATGGGCAAAAAAAAAACAGAAGAAAAAGTAAGATAGCGTGAGTAAAAAACCAAGAACTAAAAAGGAATAGGAAATTAATAAATTTTAAAAGTAAAGTAGACAGGAAAAAAAACAAAAAAAGAAGAACACACGTATCACTGATTGATGTATTGTACTGGAAGTTATGTATGATGTTTCTATGAAGTTTCTAACTTTGATACCTTAATCAACACACTTGGATCCTATAAATAAACCTCACAGGAAGATTTGAATTTCTTAATAACTAAAAAATTCGAGGTCAATACAAAATAAGTTATTACAATAAGGTTACTCGTTGTTGCACCAAAAAACAAAAAATACTCGTTAGGATTCGTTTTAGACATAAGTATCTACCTATAAGTTTTTTTACTCATTGAAAAAAAAAGTTTTTACTCATTGGTAAATTACATTGAGGTGGTTTCATTTCATAATTCATACCCCACCGAAACTAGAAATGTCCTATACAAATAGCCAGCCAAAAGAATTATTGCAAATAGCCAGCAAATTTCACTGCAAAATAGAATTTGAAGCAAGATTCTCTCCAATCTTACTTTAAATTTCACTTCATTTTAGAGTAAAAAAATGGAGTTATTCCATATATAAAGCATTTCTCTATTTTTTTTTTGTCATAACTCCATTTTAGAGTAAAAATGAAACTTACATTAAAGTATAATACAACTCCATTTTAGAGTTATTCCATAATAAAAAAAAATATGAACTTATACATTGGAGATGTTCTTATACCCCTTCCAATTGTGATAATGTGCAAGGTATTAAACAATAATAATAAACAAATAGCTGTGAATAATACAAGATGATCAGGCATAAGTGGATTTTTTTTTTGTCAGATATACACTATAGGTGGTTAAGTACAATCTAAATTAGTTAGGTACTATAGATTGCACTTAACCATCCTAGATTCTGTTCTAACTTTAGCAAACTTTCTTTTAAAAGGTGTGATGTTAAGATGAGTTTCGCTTCTGGTTTTGACAGCCACAAAACTTCAATTTTTGTCCCGGTGTGTTTCGATGAAGAATGACACACGACAAACTTTTGCAAGGTCTTTTCTTTGAAATTACACTAACAAATCAGTCTTGCACCGTCCAATTTTATTCACACGCTCTATCTCCTTGCCCCACCATAACTTTCATCACATGGGTAAATATGGAAGTTCAAATTTTGTAGATCGTAATTAACATGATTTTAACATGGTAAAAATTCACACGAGTTTAAAACATACTTTTGTTAATCTTTGGTATGTTTGATGTAAATAGATTATACTTTCTGTAAGTTTTGGGATTAATACAAGTTAAAATGTTATATATATGTTGGAAGAATGAGGACTTGATAGATAGATATATAGGCGTACGATTTTCTTACATACAATCTTTTTTTTTTCTCAAAAGGTTACAAAGACAATCCTAGATATTTTGTGGGTTTTCTTTTTTGTAAAAAGAGTGATATTTTTAAACAGAAATTAACTTACACGAACACGTTTACCAAAAAAAAAAAAAAAACTTACACGAACACTATGAAAAGATAGAGAGGGAGAAGAAAAGATAGTCCATGAGTTTAAAAGGCCTACATGTGACAAAATCAGCATCATGTATTAATGGCTTCCTAATTTCGGGATCCATAAAATTCCGATCAAAGTCAAGAATACCATGGTGGGTCCGGTCAACTACTGTGACACATGACCGAACCTGAATCGTCTTGTGATACATACAAGTATACAACGCATGAAAAGACCACATGACTTCATTTACAAGTTTATAGGTCTTTGTTTGGGTGCAATTTACAATTTTATAGGTCTATGCAAGAATCTTCTTATCCAAACTTAAAGACGGCCTTTGTTGCTTCATTCCAATTAACAATTTTACGGACAAATTACTTGTAAATTATACCTTTCTTTTTTTCTTTTTATTTCAATTGATCATTATTGGTCCGGTTTTAACCTTTAAAACATTATTGGTCCGGTCCGACCTGGATCACAATAACGACTGGAAGAGTTATTAGGATCCGGTCCTGTAACAATTGTCCATCCTGAACTGATCGTATTGCTCAGTCCTACCAAAACAGTCCATCTAGATCTCAATATATTGAGCGACTTCAATAGAACTAAATTTAACCAAAGCTTTAACGAATTGCAAGACGCTAATGCGATTTAACACGACTTGTTTATAAAAAAAATACACACACGAAATCCAATGCATACATTCTGTAGAATCAAAATGGAGCCTGTTCTGACTACACACTCGTTCCAAAAAAAAACAAAAGGGAATTTTTTTTTCCAAGATAATGAAATCCCAAACAACCCTCGAAAATCTCGCATATGCAAATGTCACCTGTGACACTCTTGTGGCACTAAACATATAGACTCATCACGACTCACCAAGTGAACAAGACACTGACAAAACCATGTGTCAATTTCAAAAATTTAAAAATAAAAAAGCCAAGTCTTCGGTGGATTTAAAACACATCAGGCTATAGATTACCTTGGCCTTGTGTATCCCATGCATGCATCTTAAGTTGAGGGCACAGACTCCTCAGATTTCTTTTCTTCAACAGCTTTCTCTGCTGATGCTGACGCTACCTTCTCCACTGGTTTCTCCACCTTTTTCTCCTCGGTTACTTTCTCTTCCACTGTCAACTTCTCAAGAAGACCAGCGGTATCAGAGGCGTCTTTGCTCTCTTCTTTCTCTTCTTCAGATTCAGCAACTTCCTTGAACTTTTGCATAAAAGCTTTGCAGTCTGATAAAGGTAAATAAGGATTTGATTATTTATGCAGTTATACGATGACTTTAACAGGATCAACAGCTCGGAAAGCGTTTCAGAAACACAGACAAAACATCACATGAAACAAGATACAGAGAAACTGTCTCCAAACTACACAGCTCAATACTAGAGCAGTGGACTGCTTTTCTCTTTGCAGATCACACACTTGACCCTAAACAGGTAACTTTTGAATCTACACAGATGACCGAATACCTCTAGTTTGATTCCCACCTTTGAAAGGTTATATTCAATCAAACAACAGCAATGATACACTTAAACAATTTCTGATTGGTAAGAGCGGCATATTACATCTACAGGGGAAACCAAATCAAACAAATTCAAAGCTCTAACAATATAAGCTTCAGGAACATCCAAAATATGCAGTCATATATGGCAATATCACAACGTTCAAGATCCTTCCAGTCATCTAAGCCATTAAAACTACAATATCTGCACTCTATACTCCTGACAAGAACTAATGATAAGTCTTAAGTATGCCACAATGAGATCAGTTATACTATAAGCAAAGCAACAATCACACAGTGAGATCCAATCAACTGAGCTGAGCAAAAATACACAACAGAAATTTACACTCACTCTCAACTGACGCAAATCGGATGCAAAAAAGCTCATCCTTCAATTCCCCATCGGAGAAATCACGAGCGTGCCATACGCAAGACTTGTCATTCCCAGCGTGTTCCTGAACAGTCATGCCCGATGTAACTGCAGAAAATGACCAAAATGAGTGAAAAAGAGTATATTACAAATATAGATCCAGGAACAAGTTTACACTAACGTAGATCAAGAGCGACGGAAAAAAATTGTACCGAGATGATTAGCACAGATCTTAAGAGTTTTCGATTGCCTCATAACTAGACGAATCTTCCCAGTATCCTTATGCTTTAAGAACTTAACAGTACCAGCACCTCTCTCTTTCCACTGACTTCCATCTTTATCGAACCGATACAACTTCGATTTCCTACAGATTTCGCAAAACAAAAAAATCCTCAATCAAAACAATCTCGCAACCAAAAACTCCGCATTGAAACTAAACCCTAGAGCTTGGGGAACTACGGAAACGATCAGATCCAGTATAATTATATATCAAACGATCCGATATACATACAGATCGAGAATGGTATCTTCGTCTTCTTCACCGGTGGTAACGGCGACTTCTTCGAGCCTGACGATCGGAGCAACCTGAGCACCGGTGTCTTCATCCTCGTTGGCTCCGGATTCTTCCTCGTCTCTATGCTCGCGCTCTGGCTCGTTGCTAATGCTCGCCATCGTATGAAATCGAATCAAGCTTGCTGGTTGGTTCAGTTGTTGGATACACACTGCGTACGAGATTGAAGGAGACAATTTTGGGAGTTTTTGTAGAAAGGAAATGATATTTTTTTTATACGAGACGGTGCTTTGATGATCGAAATGAATCATAGAAGTAACTGGGCCTGTAAGCCCAAACAACTGGGCCTAGGCCGTATTAGTTATTTGGATATTTGACTAAGGCAATGCCGAAATTGGACAACTTGTCTTAAGTGTTATTTACTCTTCCAATTTGTCACAAGACTGCACAACTGCATTATGCATTAAACACTAACACAGACTATTACATGATCAACAAATTCATCATGCGTCAAAATCGGTGAAAGATTCAGGTTTGAAATATAGTATATATCATGGAGATCTCGTCTTAAAAGAAAAGAAAAAAGTCCTAGGAAAGATAAATAAAATGTCCAAATACTTCGAATCAATTTAAGAAAACCACATCCACATTCCCTCAAAAAGACCACCAACCCAGACTGAGAAACAATTTATAAGATAAAAAGAAGAGAAGTGTTCGATTCAATTGTTAAAGGAAGAGCAGAAATAGAGCGAAACACCAAAAACCTATGGCTCCACAACAGTAACCTGTTGCCACTCTCCATCAACAGCCTCTTTCCACACCGTCACGTTATTGTTCCCATCAGACACAGCCAACAAATTACCGGTCAACGACCACGAAACCCGCCAAACCGGAGTCATAAAGTCTTTCAGAACCTTACCTTCCCATTGCTCACCTTCTTTCCCCACCGTCCAAATAATCACTTTCCCATCTTGCGAACCACTAGCTATGGTGGACTTAGGGAGACCCAAGTTCGGTGCCCACGCCACATCACGGACCCAATCAGTGTGTTTCTTAAGACCCGGATAGCAATCCATCTTCCACGACCCGTTTGTGAGCTTCCACACTTTCACGGTGTCATCACACCCACCTGAAGCTAGCTTGTAAACCGGATCCAGCGACCCGGAGCTAACCAGAGCACCAGGCGCAGTTGCTGGTGCCCATGAGACTGAAGTGACTCCAACCGAATGCGCTTGGTCAATCTTTGCTGTGTCCCAGCCACCATCAGCACGGCCTGTGAAAACCGAGATGTTTCCATCGGATGACCCGCAAGCCAAGGATAGTCCGAGTTCATGAGGAGCCCAAGCAATGGAGTTGACTGAAGATTTGTGGTCTGTGAAGACATGAGCTTGAGTCCATTGGTTTTGGTTGCCTTCTTTCCAGAGTATGACTTGACCATCGTAGGAGCAAGAAGCTAGGATTGATCCATACTTTGGGTGGGCCCACGCTACCTCCCAGACAGGACCACGGTGGCCGGTTAATGTAGCTAGGTGCTGCGATCCACCGTTGTTGCTGACTCCGGTTATCTTGATGGTGCAGTCAGATGAAGCAGTTGCTACTCGCTTCCCGTAGTAATCCATTTGCACATCATGGACAGTGTCCTCATGACCCGTTTCAATCTTCTGTCCTGGCATGTTTCCGGAATGACTTTCCCTGCTACTTAAAGTAAAAATGTAAAATTTTTGAATACAAACACCCGTGTGGAATAACACAAACAGCAAAATAGCCTGTAAAACAGATATGGAGAAGCAGAGATCGATGTAAATTCTCCTATGCTATATGTCAAAACATATTGGAGGCTCATACTCTTATGCATATTACATACGTATGGGATACAATCCACACCAGAAGCAGGATAAATCAAACACTTACAAAAAACAAACGCATCTATCACAGGAAATGTCTATAAATCAAACACTTTCAACAAACATACACTACGCAATGCAAGTTGACAAGGAGCACAAACAACGAATTTGTTGATCCATAGGGTACTACCGTCACATGGTTTCCAATGGCTTTCAATATCAGTGAAGCATGTTTCTAATTTTCACTTTGCTGGTTCAGATTATATAAATGTAAGCACAATTTATATAATATGGAGTTTCAGTCAGAGACCGATAACAATGTAACAGTCAGTTCTCAGAGAAAAATTTTGACATCAAACCAACAATCACGAATCAGCATCGAAGTGCCGAATTACACACAATATCAGATAAGCGATTAAAAGAGGAATCCGAGTAGTAAATCCTAAGATCGAAACTCCAGTTGCAGATATTACGGGCAGGAGAATTTTCTAATCGAATCGATTCACACACAAAAATCGAAGCTAAGCTAACGCATCCGAAGCAAAATTCGCAAATTGACAGAACTGGATCCAAAAGTTGAAAGCTAATTGTGGAAATGCGATTCAATTAGACGGATCACGAGGTCAGAGTCACAGTACAAAAAAGATCAAACGACGATCGATAACGTTGAAAACCTAATCACAATTTCGAACAGAACCCTAGCTTAGATCTACGGACACAGCTCAGAGAACAGACAAAAATGAAGAACGCAATGCGCAGAAACAAATCAGGGAAGAGATAGCGTACCTGAAGGCACGGTCGATCGACTGAGAGACGCCGGAATGTGAGTTGAAGAAGAAAATCGACGAAGAAGAAAATCGACGAAGAAGAAAATCGACGAAGAAGAAAACGCTAGGGGGGAGCAATGGGGAGTTTTTTTTTGTTTCTACAGTTTGTATATAAATTGATTAAAAAAAAAAATAGATCTGGCTAAAAACAAAGTTACCTAAACCGTAGTCTAGACTGTAAACCGGGTGGGTCAAATAGAAAACCGGAGGGACATGAGAGATGGATCTTTGAAGTTTCATTATTCAAACCCTTGAAACAATATTTTGCTTTCCATTCTAGTTTTTCTATTTATATATTTCATAACTAAACCTATTCTTCTTTTCTTTTTTAAAATTTCAAAATTAGTATTTGTTGAAAGTGTACTCTGCACAATTGGTTTAACTTATGACCCGAAACTTAAACCGTAGTTTAGACTATAAACCAGGTGGATCAAATAGAAAACCGGAGGGGTATGAGAGATCGATCTTTGAAGTTTTATTATTCAACACAATATTTTGCTTTCCATTCTAGTTTTTCTATTTATATATTTCATAATAAAACCTATTCTTCTTTTCTTCTTTCTTTTTTAAAATTTCAAAATTAGTATTTGTTGGAAGTATATTCTGCACAACCGATTTAACTCAACATAACCCAAAACTAACTCAATTAATTCCGGTTGACGATGGTTTATGACAAATTAAACTAAATCAAACCAAATCTTTTCGTCAAGAAGAAACGGCGTAAAGTGAAGACGGTGCCAACCTCCAAGAATTTAGAAAAAAAATTTAGATTTTTGGAGAAAGGAAGATATCCTTCTCTAAAATTCAAAGGGAAAATAAAATATTATTGTTAAAGTAATTTGCGGAAGTACTTTATTCATCAATCTAAAGCACATATATATACATATATATTAGTTATCTTTAAGTTATTTTCTAAAATTTAAAAGGAAAATAAAATATTATTGTTAAAGTAATTTGCGGAAATACTTTATTCATCAATCTAAAAGCACATATATATACATGTATATTAGTTATCCTTAAGTTAGTAACTAGCAATGTGGGACAAAACAAATAAACTAATTAATATTGAGTTAATAACTATACATGACCTAATAAGCCCATTATCTCTTAATACCCCCTTTCAAGTTGGAGCATGGAGATCTCGAATACCCAACTTACACAAAATTTCTTTAAACAGGCGTCCTCCAAGTGCTTTAGTGAAGATATCCGCCAACTGTTGAGTAGTAGAAACATGTTGAGTCTGAACAATTCCAGCTTGTATATCGTCTCTAATGAAATGACAATCAAGCTCCACATGCTTCGTTCTCTCATGAAACACAAGATTAGCTGCAATATGAAGTGCAGACTGGCTGTCACAATATCAATCCATTGGACCAGAATATGCAATACCCATCGTTAACAACACACTCTTTATCCACTTCAACTCTTTCAATGCCAAAACCATAGATCGGTACTCTGCTTCAGCCGAAGAGCATGATACAATGTCCTGCTTCTTTGAACTCCATGACACAGGAGAATTTCCCAACTGTATTAACCATCCACTCAAAGATCTCCTCGTGATTGGACATCCAGCCCAATCTGAATCACACCAAGCTGTAAGATGGAAATTACAATCAGATTTCAACAAAATTCCCATTCTCGGGCACCCTTTCAAGTAACGAACAACTCTCAATGCAGCCATCCAATGATCCTCTCTGGACTCATTCATAAATTGAGACAAGATGTGAACTGAGTAGGCAAGATCTGGTCTAGTCGCGGCCAGGTAAATCAACCTTCCAACAAGTCTCTGATACTTCTCTGGATCAGCAAGTATCTTTGTCATCGACCTTCCCAACTGATGATTTTGCTCCATCAGAAACTCTACAGGTCTACCACCAAGCAAACCAACATCAGCCATAATATCCAAAGCGTACTTTCTTTGTGATAAGTATATACCCTCTGCATTTCTTGCGACTTCCAATCCAAGAAATTATTTCAATTTTCCCAAATCTTTCATATGAAAGCAATTGTTTAAATACGTTTTAAACTTTTGTATCACCTCGGGAGAGCTTCCTGTCACCACAAGATCATCCACATACACTAGAACGTGCAAGTGAACTTTATCATGAACTAATGAGAAAAGAGAGTAATCAGCCTTACTCTGTGTAAAACCATACCCCAAGAGTGCCTTCGAAAGTTTCACAAACCAACATCGCGGAGCTTGTTTCAAACCATACAGCGACTTGCGCAAACGACATACCATACCCTTCTTAGAAGCACCAAACCCCTGAGGTACCCTCATAAGCACCTCTTCATCCAAATCCCCATGAAGAAATGCATTGTGCACATCCATCTGATGTAGCTCCTAATTTTTCCCAGCTGCAACTTGAAGAACCAATCGAACTGTGCTCATCTTTGCTACAGGACCAAATGTATCAGAATAATTAATCCCTTCTTTTTGACGGTTGCCACATGCCATAAGTCTTGCCTTATACCTTACAATCGAGCCATCTACATTATACTTAATTATGTAAACCCATTTACACAAAATAGCATGCTTACCTGGTTATAAGTGTTCAATCAACCATGTTTGATTTCGTTCTTGGGCCTGAATCTCCAGTCTCATAGCTTCTCTCCATCACAGATCTTTCATAGCCTCAGCAAAAAATTTCGGCACAACTCCTTGAGTTATACTACACAGAAATGCCTTGTGAGACACAGAGAATCTTTCATAATTCACATAATTCTCAATATCGTAATCATTACTCAACTCCTGACTCACAGTTGATATATTCATTGTAAATGTTGTATTGCACACATAACTTGACAGAAGTTTCTTTCTTTCTGATTCCTCTTCCCAAAATTTCTGCTGATGCAGGCTGTTGCACAGTTTCAGCCTGTGTCACCGATGCAGGTTCTGTCACTAAAGTATACTGCACAGTTTTAGCCTGTGTCTCTGATGCAGATTCTGTCATTAAAGCAGGCTGCATATTCTCAGACTGTGTAAACCGATGGAGGTTCAGTCTGTGACACCGTAATTCCTAAGATATCACATATTTCGTTTCCTATAGTCTGTCTTTCTTCTTCAACAACCTTGTCTAACACAACGAGAATCTGTATCATTATATCTCTTGTGAGAGGTTGTATAATTTCTCTTGCCATGGCAGGTTCTATATCGTTAAAACCAACGTTATCATCCACAAATAACCTCGTATGATCAGAATTAGAAGGCTCATCCAGCTGTATATTTTTTAGCTCCAAATATGGGAATCGTTCCTCAATAAAAGTGACATCCCGAGAAACAAAGATCTCATGTGTGTCCAAGTAAAATAAGTTTCATCCCTTCTTTGCATAAGGGTATCCTAAAAATACGCATTTTTTGCTTCTATTAGCAAATTTATCCCCATGACGTTTCAGATTGTGAGCATATGCTAAACATCCAAAAACTCGTATCTCACTATAAGCTGGAGCTTTCCCAAAGATGATTTCATAAGGACTCTTACCATTGTGTAACACATAAGGCATACGGTTGATTAGATACACAGCACTCAAAGCACAATAACTCCAAAATTCTATTGGTAAATTTGCCTGAAACCTCAACGCTCGTGCGACATTCAGTATATGTTGATGTTTTCGTTCCACTCTCCCATTTTGTTGAGGAGTTCCCACACATGAAGTTTGATGAATTATCCCTGATGTACGAAAATAGTCCTTCATACCTATGAATTCACTACCATTATCACTTTGCACGAGTTTCACATGTTTCTCAAACTGTCGCTGAATGAGAGCAAAGAAATCTACCATTATTTCTGAACTTGTGTTTTATCAGCAAGAAGAAAAACCCACACAGCTCTAGAATAATCATCCACAATAGTTAAGAAATAAGAAGACCCACACACGCTCTGTGTTCGATATGGCCCCCACATATCACAGTGAATCATCTCAAAGCACTCTTTGCTTTTCTTTGTACTCATAGGAAATACATTCCGACACTGCTTTGCTCGGAAACAGACATCACCATCGGAAACACCAACACTCTTTTGATCCACTTCTGGCAATCTCCTAATAACCTTTTCAGAAGCATGTTCTATCCTTTTATGCAAAAGTTCCAAAGATCCCAACTTACTGACTTTTGCCACATTCACGATCTTCTGAATACCTTGAAGAAAATAAAATCCATCTTTTCTTTCACCCACTGCAATCGGAATCTGCAAAGCAGGATCTTGTACCCGACACATTTGCTTAGAAAATAACACAATGCAATTCATTGCATCAATAATCTGTGACACTGAGATGAGGTTGCACTTGAGTTCCTTGACAAAAAGCACATGTGTCAAAGTTAACTTCTCTGTCAATGTCACACTTCCTTCTCTATCAGTAACCACAACATTTTCATTAGGCAGACCCACTAAACATGGTGAGACTTTATGCACATCAAACATACCACTGAACGTACCCGTCATATGGTGGAACGCGCCACTATCAATAATCCACTCATCTGTATAGGTGTTATCACTCACACGATTTGCTATCTCTAATCTCGAATCAAGCCATTGAACAAGCTTATGCCATTGATCTTTCTTGAGCCCTGTTACAGCCTGTGCATCAACATATGACGCCCCAGTGTGTGACACATGTTTCGTAGGTTTTCCATACTTCTCCAGCCACCAATCTGGATATCCATATACCTGATAACATGATCTCACGTCATGACCATACTTCGAACAATAAGAACACATAATTTTTCGACTCTGAAATCTCATATTTTCTAAAACCGGAGAAATCTCCAAAGATTCTTTACCGAGTAAAGAAATCTCAAGCCCTTATGGCTCTACAAAAATACCGAACCTCGTCAGTCCGAGTTCACCATCAAAACAAAAGAGCAAAACCTCGTCGGTTTGCTTTCCACTAAACCACAACTTATAACAAGAATTTGAATCAAAAGCTAGACCAAAACTTTAAGTAGCCTTAAGCTCTGATTCAAGAGTTAGACCAAAACTTTATGTGGTCTTTAGCTCTGATACCATGTCAAAGTAATTTGCAGAAATACTTTATTCATCAGTCTAAAGGCACATATATATATATATATATATGTACATTAGTTATCCTTAAGTTAGTAACTAGCAATATGAGACAAAACAAATAAACTAGTTAACATTGAGTTAATAACTATACATGGCCCAATAAATCCATTATTTCTTAATAATTATTGTTAACCGACTTTGCACTTAATGAAGAGATTCCTCATAATTAATCCACATAAATATTTTGGAGCATTAGAGAATTCAGAGTTGTAACCTAGTTCTCTAAAATCCTCGTTGTAATTCGATTATCAAATCAATAAAAAAACGTTTCCGAGCATTCAGAACTCTTAGTATTCAACAAGAATATAAACATTTACAAATGGCGTTCGTGGATAAGAGCAAAAGAATTGATGTACTGAAATGAGCATTAAACGCGACTGCATAAAGAGTCGTGACCACTGTTTGAACAAGCCAGGCATGGCTTCTCTCAAAACATGTGACACATCGTAATAGGCCAATAGCTATTCGGACATGCAACAGCAACTGGTCTCACATCATCGTAGTCAAAAGCATATTGCACTCGATCACCTACGCATCTATCGCTAATGCGCCTCACCTTGTGTTCGAATCTAAGTTAGACAACTCATTCATTTCAAAACATAAAAATTTCACAAAACGTACAGGACTGCCAACGTATATAGTTCGGTTTACTTCGGTTTATAGGTCATATCGTATATAGTTCGGTTATCTCCTATGGTTTTTAAGTCTTTGGTATTTGACGCTTCGTCTTAATATCTTATCATTTTGTAGATCAAATTGAGAGTTATAGAGAAATAGAAAATCTGTTTGATAATTTTATTCCTTTTTTCTTCATCACAAAATCCTCTGAGTCTTCCATGGCAAATTTACTTTGGTAAAAAAAAGCCAATGACAACATAAATCCATATTCAATACTCTTTGACTGTTATAAAATCGTAAGAAACTATAGTATTTAATTAATATGCGTACGGGAACACCAGATGAAAATAAAAACCATGGTATTATAAAATTAAGTACAGTCATCCATTTTAAAAGGTGAAGAAAGTGTTACAAAAAAAGGTTTTGAAGAAGAGATAAGCGATGACGAGAGTGGAGAATGTTCTTTTAAATTTAGCGTATTATTTATGATTTGTTTTGATACCTTTCTCCAAATTGAAAACTTGTGGAGTTGCGGTAAGCCAACATTGCCCACTACTTACATCGTCATCTTCCATTTTCTCCTCCTCATTTCCTAATTTATTGTCTGCTTTGTTTTTTTATCATTAATCAAAACTTTTCTTTTTGTTGTAAAAAGGGTTATCGAAGTTTATAGTTCACTATTTGACCTAACAATTTTATCTACACCGACCAAGAAAACTCAAGGAAAGGCTGACAATTTCATATCGACTCGTAATCACTTACTTATTAAGCATTAATATACTAATTATACATAATATGGTCTTAGCTCCTCTCTAACGACCTTCAATATATTATAAAGAAAAATATTTGGTCAAGAAGCTACCAAACAAAAGTTGGGTGTTGTAAATGAGAGTTAATCAACAAAAGAAGGCAACAGTTGAGAGTTAGGACACTCATTTACACCACGTAAAAGAGTTCTCGAGAAATAGATAGACCGATCCGAATCACATGCAAATTACCAAACAAAAAAGTTAAGGCTGAGAATGAAAGATAGATATTTCTTTTCGCAATTTTCTTCTTCTTATCATTAATTTGATGATGATAACAACAACAATACAGAATACGAATAATAATAATAATACTGGTGTAAAACGTGGCATATATCTGAATATTCTCTACCACCAATAACAACACCACCAACAACAACATTTCACACGTCATCACCGACCTCGACGCCGACACCGATTCTTCTTCATTTCCCGGCGGTGTAACGGACTCATCGGTGGTCTCTAATTCCGATTCTAACCTTGTTGATGAAACCGGATATTCCCATTTTGCCCCTAATTCTTCGGTAGCATCGACTCTAACCTCAGTCCAACCATTAGATTCCCAAATTGCCCCTCCGCTCGTCGCTAATTTACTAATCTTTGCCATCGCCGAAACCATAGATTCAACACTCGACCCGTTGCTCTCTTCTTCTTCTTCTTCTTCCTCAAACTCCGAGTTGACCCAGTCCAATACACAACGCGGAGACGACTCGGTGAAAAACGAGTGATGACCTTGACATAGAAACGGATGCTCCAAAAGCTGATCGCAACTCCATCTCTGACTCCGATCACGTCTCAAGCATTTGTCCAAGAAATCGCGACCGAGTTCCGAAATTCCCGCCGGAATATAAGGCAACTCGTTTGAAAACCCGATTCGACTCAGCGAGTCGAAACCGTGATCTTCCCACGCTGGTTTTCCGGTGAGCATCTCGATGACCGTGCAGCCTAGAGACCACACGTCACTCTCCGGTCCTTGATACTCTCTCCTTATCACCTCCGGAGCCATCCAAAGCGGACTTCCACGTGGCGCAATCCCAACCGTCGGTTTTGCAAACTCAATCGCCGATCCGAAGTCCGCCAGCTTAACGGAGCTTCCTCCGTTAACGACGAGGACATTCTTAGATTTAATGTCGCAGTGAACGATTCCGTTAACGTGAACGTGACGGAGAGCGGAGACGAGACACCAAACGTAACGACGGAGCAGAGTTTCATCCACGACGATTCCACCGTTAGCCACGTCACCTTCCGGTAAATACTCCAAGTGGAGATTTCGAAACGTCGTCGTTCGTTCTCTGGACACGTCATCGCCGAGGAATTTCACGATGTGTGGATGAGTCTTGAGAGAGCGGAGGATTTCGATTTCGTTCTCGAGGGACTCTGATTGCGCAGGAAGACACGTGGCGAGATCAACTGACTTCACGGCGAAAACTCCACCGTCGATTTTACTAACGGCTTTGCTTACTGTTCCAAAACATCCTCTTCCGATACAATTACCTCGAATCCAAGAAGATGAAGAAGAAGAAGAAGCGTTTGTGATGCTCTGTTTCTCCATGTGTTCTTGAAGTGTTTTTTTTTTTTTTTTGATAAGTAATGTGTAAAATCTTAAGGACACATGACGGTATTTATACGTGTGTCGAACTGTCAAATGTGAACGAGAAATAAAGTTGGAATTTTTTTTAGTTTCTGACGTGGACATTTTCTTTTCTACTTGTTGTCTTTCTGAATTTTGAAATCCTGAAAGCCATTTTTAAAAAAAAAAAGTTTCCCACTTGGAAATTCAGAACAGTCGCTCTTGAGTTAAACTATAAGTTTAATTAGAGACAAATGGATAATTTAGAAGAACGGTTTTGAATTTTGATGACGTCAGTGCGACACTTGGATGTTTTGTAAGATGTTTTGTAAGAAAATGATTTACTTTCCATTTAATCCTTATCAACAATAGAAAGTTTAGAAGCAAGTTGTGGTTTGATCTGGTCCGTTAATTCGCTACCCCAAAAGGATAAGTCAACGGCTCGCATTTTAACGCAATTTGTAAGTTCTTTTCAACTTTCAACAAAGAAAACGGTTGTTCTAAGAGCATGTCTATTAGACAAACTCTCTTAAGAATCTTTAAGAATATTTTAATAGTTTTTTCTGTTTTAGGAAAAATTATGAAACTTTGATCATTTTAATGGTCTATTAGTGAACTTGTAATGGATGTCTTAAGAATAAAATATTATATTTTTTTTTAATTTTTTTTTAATTTTTGTTTATTTTTTTTTAACTTAATTTTAAATTTAAATATACATTTCATATAAAACAATATTATTAAAACATTACAGAAATTTTAAGAATACAAAATACATATATATATAGATCGTAAAACTTTTATTTCTACTCTTCAGACGAACCAAATTTGTTCCAGATATGCTGAATTAAATCCGCTTTCAATCGTTCATGTATTTGATTATCACGGACTTCATTTCGAATTCCGATCATATTGAGGATGTTTGTAGACATAGTTGTAGAGTATCCCATATCTACTTGTGAAGTTCTGGTTGATTCACTTCCTTGAAATTCTTCTATATCATGCAGATTGTAGTGATCTCGTTCGTTTTCTACAATCATATTGTGTAATATGATAGATGCTCGCATAATTTTTCCAATTTTTACCTTATCCCAGAAAAGAGCTGGATTTCTTATTATTGCAAATCGAGCTTGCAGAACTCCAAAAGCACGCTCGACATCTTTTCGGACGGATTCTTGGCAAGTAGCAAAACACTGTGATTTTGGATCTTGAGGGAGTGAAACAGATTATATGAAAGTTGCCCATTTTGGGTAAATACCGTCAGTGAGGTAATAAGCCAAGTTATACTTGTGTCCATTCACCCAGTATTGCACCTTTGGAGCTCGACCTTGTAAAATGTCATCAAAAACAGGTGAACGTTCAAGAACGTTAATATCATTCAAGGTACCTGGAGGTCCAAAAAACGCATGCCATATCCAAAGATCTTGTGATGCTACTGCCTCCAAAACAATTGTCGGTTTTCCAGAACCACGTGTATATTGCCCTTTCCAAGCGGTAGGACAATTCTTCCACTCCCAATGCATACAATCGATGCTTCCTATCATCCCGGGAAACCCCCGCGCCTCTCCATTATCGAGGAGTCTTTGAAGATCATCTGATGTGGGCCTTCTTAAGTATTCATCTCCGAACAATTGTATTATTCCGTCTGTGAAATTTTCCAAGCATAATAGTGCAGTACTTGCACCTAGTCGGAGGTATTCGTCAACCGCATCAGCCGCACAACCATATGCCATCATACGAATTGCTGCCGTACACTTTTGTAGTGCAGATAGACCAAACCTTCCGTGAGCATTTCTTCGTTGTTGAAAGTACGGAACTTCATTAGAGAGGCGACCAACAATACGCAAGAACAAGTCTTTGGTCATTCGAAAACGGCGTCGAAAAATATGAGGCTGGTATGTTGCACCTTCACAGAAATAATCATTCCATAAGCGGATATGACCTTGTTCGCGTTCTCTTTCAATATATGCGCGTTTCTTCTTTTGCTTTGCTGCGGTATGACGATCAAGAACAGCGTCGAACAGATCGTCACATTTTTGATCAATAATATCATCAATAAGGTCATCAAAAGAATCATCAAGACCATTGTTGGAAGATGATGCCATAATTGAAAAAAATTTGATGGAAAATTAAAGTTGGTTAGACTTTAGGAATTGAAGACGTTTGATGGAGAATACAAAATTTTAGAAATAGTAGAATTTAGAAATAGCAGAAATTTGAAGAAGATGAAATTTGGAAATCGATATATGAGAAAGAGAAGAAGGGGTCTTTGTTGTAGTTAACTATATTGGTTTTAGACATATATACAGAAACAGTTGTGTTCGAAACTTGTGGTATACAATTACAAAACATAAAGTTGTGGCTTACAAATGTCATCCAAATACATGTGGGTAAAATATTCATCCAACAACATGTGGAGTATACATGTGGGTAAAGCTTTTAAAACTCAGCCTAGTAAATCTTATCACTCGTGACCGACATCTTATCCCACACCATCAAATACAAGCCATCTTCCCATTGAAGTCATCAAAACCAACGATCATTACTCCATCATATCCCTACACCAAAAAATATCATAAATAATTATTCATAAAACATATACATAAAACATAAAAGAAGATACTATAACATTAACATTAATAGCCGAGAACCATACATTGATAGCAAAAAACAAACACAAAAGAACTACATAGCCGAGCAACATAAACCTTAAAAGAAAACAAAAGAAATTAAACACTAACTACATAGAACTACATAGCCGAGCAAAACAAATGTATCAGAAGATACAGAAACTTATGAAACCGATACAATAATGCTTTAAGCCAACAACTCATTAATAAGCTGGGTCTTCAAGGCCTCTTCTCTCTCAGATAGTGGCTCAGCTTTACACAGAAGACTATCCAGCAATTTTTTGTTAGTAATCTTGTCCTTCATGGCAAGGTCTCTCTCCTTCATTTCATACATGCTCTTTATGTCACTCAGCCCACTAACTGCTTCTTTACCACCAGAGGTACCAACCAGTTTCTTTTTTGCAGCCTTGGCAGCTTTTACACCAGGTGGCCGAGCCATGCTAACATCATCTCCATGGTCTTGGGTTTGTGAGTTTGTAGTGTGAGCTGAAGTCTCACCAACCTTCCTTCTTTTCCCCTTTCCACCATCTTTAACCGCAGATGCTGAGCACCATTTTTGGTCATGTCTAAGTTCCCTCCAAGCATGTTCAAGATTGAACTTGAATTGGTGATCATTGTAAAAAATTTGGTGAGCTGTCTTCATCACGTCATTCTCATTTTGCCCACTGGTTTGAGCCTTCAATGCAGCTTCATAACAGCCGCAAAACTTGGAGACATGGTCGTTGATCCTCTGCCACCTCTGCTTCAGCTGACCAGACTCTCTATCTTGCTCATTAACCAGCTGTTTAGAAGAGTTGAAGTAGATGGTTATTCTTTTCCAAAAAGCATCTACTTTTTGCTCATTGCTGATGATTGGATCTTTAGAAGTGTTCAACCAGGCGCTTATCAACGCAACATCCTCCACAAGAGACCACTTCCTCCTCTCTTTCACATTTCGCTGATCAGGTACTTGGCTGCTAAACCTTGGAACTTCATGTGATCCAAGGTCTTGAGATGGTGAAAAACAGAATGTCTGTTCCTCTTGACTTGTCAAGAGGTTTACAAACCCCTGTGAACTGTTAAAAGAGTCCATGGTTTTGAGAAAGACTCTTCGGTTTAAGAGATGAGAGTGAAAGAAATGAGGATATTTGTGAGTTTTAGAAAGTTTAAAAGAGTGAAAGAAATGAGAAGAGTTGAGAGTTTAAGAAAGTTTTTACTCTTCACCTAAAAACTTTCTATATGTAATCGGTTTTATAGAAGTTTAAAAGATTAAAAGTTTTAGAAATGAGAAATGAGAAGTGATGAATGTGTTTAATGAGAATAGATGTGTTTTAAATTTTTTTGTGTTTTCAATGGAAATAGTGCTTTTACTCTTCACCTAACAGCTTTAACTCTTTTAAACCAGTTTCAATCAATCAAGCATTCATAACAAAACACTTAAGCCTTCACCTAACAAATATCTTTGAACCCTTTTCACCAAAAAAATGTTCAACCGATGCACTTCTAAGCCTAACTATCTATGCTAACAACTAGTTACTTGTATGAACCAAACTAACCTTGCATTTGCACTGCAAAGAATGCTTGATTGCTTCCAACATCAGCTCTTTATTGTCTCCCAAGTTAACCTAGCCACAAAACAAGAATAAGGATCAACACAAACCCAAACATTGCATATTTTACTTACACACATAAAAATGTCATCGGATATTTGATGTTGATTTACCTTTGTATATGTGATACACTCGTCAAAAACATGCCATCTGACTCTGCTTGATGAACCATCTATGTTTGTTTATCCATGTACCCTCGTCAAAAACATATACCCAAAAAAATTAGTATATGCAAACACAAACAAAACCGATCATATGCCAATAACAAACCAATTACATCCAAAATATGCATAAAACGTATGTAAACTACACTAATATAGACTATTACTCATTCAATTTAGCATAATTTAATTACAAGAAAAATCCCCAAATCAATCAAGAACCCTAATTTACCGATGTTTCCAAAAATCCCCAAACAACTTCGAAATCGTTAAAAGAAACTTACCAATGTTCGCATATGACTTTATTCTTCATAGAAGCTCGGATTATATCGTCGTTTAGGAGGATTGATCGGAAATTTGTTGATTTCGTTGAAGGAACCATAAAATCGCCATTGAGAGAAAAAAAAATGTTGAGAATGAGATTTGTCGGGGAGAGAGAAATCCTGCACGACCCCAAAATGCTTCCCACTTTTTTTTTTCCTCTTAACCAATGCTGAATCGCCACGTGTACTCGTGAATAGTTTATGGATCGATCCATATAATCCTTCTACAAGGATCGGTCCATAACTTGTGGACTTTTTCCTTTTTTTTTAAACCCAAGATTCTCTATGAAACCCACCTAAACCCAGTTAAAATACCTCAATGGACCTGGTCTAAGGGCATGTACATTAGAGGGTTTCATTAAAAGTTTCTTAAAAATATTATAATATTTATAAACAATCTTCTAAGGGCCAGCCCTAAAAACCCTTCTGCAAGGGTCAGCCTTTATATTTTGGACTTCCTTTTTATTATTTTAACTTAAAATATTCATTAGCAACCCAATTAAAAAATGTGAAGGGCTCTCAATGAACATGGTCTAAGGCCATTAGGTTACGTTAGACAAGTGATTGAGATCTCTCCGACGAATCGTGGGAACGGCAAACTAACAAAACGTGTCGATTGATTTTCGGACGTTTGTTCTGCTGACTTTCGTTTGTTGGTTATGGGTTCGTTATAGTTTTATTTCTGTTGACTCGAGTTTAATACACGATCAGACATGGAATATTCGGTAGTACTATTCTTGAAATCGTGATCGTAAAAATAATAACGTATAGTGCTTAGACACCATAACTATCTAAATTGTTTATTTTAATCAAAAAAAAATCTAAATTGTTTATTACAGTATATCAAGGATAAATGGTTCATTTTGTAGTTATTTTAAGCTAAAATAACGAAAAAGTTCTATGTAGTTGATTGGCCAACGAAAAAGTTCTATATATGTATTTCTTCCAAATCTCCATCTTGTCGATTTCTCTAAAAATTAGCATCTCATGCTCATAATATTCACCCCTATTCAAATCCTTAGATAAGATACAAATGGTTGTGCAATTAGAGTGAGAAAATATAGAACAATTATGCATTATTAAAATTCTACCATTTGCGGAGAAATTCCACAAGTAAATTTGAAAACATGAATTGTTAGCGAAAACTTTTACAAAATACTACAAGATTTTACATTTGACGTAAAAAAAAAGGAACCAAAAAAACTACAAGACCATAATGTGATTTAGGAAAAAAATGTTCCTCCCCTATATTAAGAGGAACTCTCATTTTCCGTCGACCGCTTTAGTTTCTGGGTTTATATTTAGGCAATAAATGGTGACATGATGAATGCGGTATTCAGTACGCAAAAGTCAAAACCACCTTTTGTTACACAATCAAGCAAAATTTTAAAACATTTGCGTTTTCTTAAAAAATAAATAAAAAAGTAATGCGGTTTTATCAAGTGTATAAAATCAAAGACCGCACTCCTAAAATCCGACGGAGTGTTTACTCAGCGGTCCGCATAGAATACCGCACTTGAATAATTTTTTTTTTAATTCCAATATTTAGTTATTAAACTATACTATAAATTATTCTTAAAATTGATAGTTTATGACATGTGTTTAAATTTATTAAAACTAGCATATTAACATAATAAAAGCTAAAAAATATGCTAAAATTTTTAAAATTGACAAAGAAAACTTTAAAATTCTAAAATAATTTATGAAATAAAATAATTAAATAATTTTTTATACAATTTTAATTTAAAAAACATATTTAGATAATTCTAGATGGTAGATTAAAGAATGTATTAATATTTTTTAAAAAATGTCATCTCAATTACATTTTTGGCATATGACTATATTATAAATTCATTGTAAGTATTTTGATTTAACTCTTTAATTGGTTTAACAATATATATGTATCAAAAATTAAACTTTTATTTGAAATCAAATATTGGTACTTATTGTTCATAAATAAAACAGGAAAATATTCTTCACTAATATTAAACAAACATTGTTAATTTTTAATTTTATTAACATTTTTGTATATTTATTCTAATCTATTATATATTATATATGACTATGTCCAACTTAACTTTAGAACATTGTTAATAATCGACGTTGAAGAGAGGGCATAGGTACACTGTGTACGCGAAGCATGGGATTCTAAAATAGCGAACCGAATAAAAATCGGAAGCGGGTAAGTAGCGTGTAGCGACATAGACATAGTTACTTGTCTCAAAGAAGTTGAGAGAGAGGTTTCATCACTTATCACTTGCGCACCTCTAAAGAAACTATAGATCTTTGGTGGGATCTACTTTGGAAGCTTACGTGTCACGAAACTGTTGGTCCACGATCTCCAACAGAGAACCAAAGACTCCAGTTGTCTGAAACTCACTTATGTTTTTGCTACCAGAATGAACTATTTGACGTGCCTTCACCACCTCCACCTCTACTTTAAAATAACATTTTTCTCTTTTGTTGGGTAATAAAACAGATAACTTACTCAACGTGATCCTTGACGGCATGAAAAAGATTAAAGAAGAAAGAAAAATGTTAATGCTTTATTCACCTGTCCAAGAAAAAAAAGTTTAATCAATAATATCTTTAAAATATTGATTAGTTACTACTATTCATGAGTTGACCAAAAAAAGTAAAAAACAATTTATATTAGTTCGTTAGTTATTAATATTTCAAATACTTCTTTAAGGTGATCTTTGAGGGAATGCAAAAAAGAAAAAGAAAAATGATGTTTTAATTTGAATGCTTATTTTGACCACAAAAAACCTTCCATCAATAATATTTTAAAATACTGATAAGTTACTAATTCATGAGTTGACAATAAACAAGTTACTAATTAAACAACTATTAAAACTCTCATATAGTTTTGCGGCTACTATACATTTGCTATCTAAATACCTACTACTATTTAAGAAAAGGTCGCTTTTTGGAAAAACAAATCCGCCGCAACTATCATATACTATAAAGATAGATAATAAATGTTGTTAAGTAAATTTGTTTGCTTCTTTGAGATCTCTGCCCTTCCGTGAACGTGAAGTACTATATTAACGGTCCACCACTTGCTGGATATCCTTTCGATTAGAGTCCAAAAAACAAGATATTATTTTGGGATTTATTGGACCCATACCATATTACCAAGTGACATATCGGAGAATCCACTTGGAAACCAAATTAGATAATGTAAGTGCAACATGTCATTCATTGGTACTAAACTTTTAATGTTCTTTTCTAATCGAAATCGACTCTACAGATGTATGATTATTAAGGTACTGAGGTCATGTATTTACTCGTAAAAGATAAAATTATTAAACAAAATGAAAAAGCTAAGATAATCAGAACTGTTTGACATTAAGGCGCGTGGCTTTAGAGACAATATTTTTTAATTAATGGAAAGAGTGACAATTAAAAAGGGATGTTTTTTTGCTTTAGTATTTTTTTTTTTGACAATAAACAGTATTTTTTTTTTGGGTACTAAGATGCATGCCAAAGAGCAAAACACAATAGAGACATAAGTTGCTGTTTATGTTGATAAATGTCGTGGGAGGAGAAGACAGACGAGGCAGAAAATACTCGAAATTAAGGTGGCCGACAATACAACATGCTTATGTTATTGCAACTCCGAAGAAATCTCTAACAACATCATCTTCATCTTTTTAATATAGGATTGATTCAAGATCATGCACACTGATCTTCGTATCACCAAGATAACGATCCGAATGGTAATAAAAGTTGAAGTAATGCATATTGAGGAATCTAGACGGTCGAAGCATTATTGTAAGCGTAGTTGAGGCGGTATGGACTGTCAAAATGTTAATGAAAACTGCAATGCTTAAAATCAAATAATTGGAATGAATATTGTTTGCACGTATCTACGATTCGCATCTAATCCATTGATCCCTGAATCATATTGCGAAACTTGTTACTAAAATAGTAACTCATTTGATTTGACTATAGATTATATTCCTCTTTCAAAATAAAAAAAAAGAGGGACCACACGCAAAGACACCGTTTATAACTTCTAAAGAATAGTAAATATATGCCAACCAATGGCCAGTTGTAGGCAACGAACTCTGTCTTCGATCGTGAATATTTAATTGCATGCGATGCTATATGTTTTAAATGTTTATTTATTATTTAAAATTGGGAAACAAAATGAAACAGACATTGACTTGTAATGAAATGAGACTAGAAGTGCAAAACCCTGATTTTTCAAAATTTTAAATTTGAAAAGAAAGTAATTACAAGTAAAGTTAGGTTTTAACCGATTAACTCAATTGTCGATCTTGTAGGTCATGGTGTTACTTGTTAGGCTTTCATCTTCATAGATGAAATCGATAGATGAAAGCTAAATTAAGTGAACAAACATTTAGTTTAGTTACATTGAATTGGTAGAACACATGATGTGTGTGGGACTGAACTGCTAAATTGCCGGAGATTTGGTTTTGGTAAAGTAAAAAAAGGATTTGGAAAGGAAAAAGATTTTGAGTTGGAAAAAAACAACAGAGGAAAAGCCGAACAACGTGCCGTTTTGGGGTCCATTGAGAAAACAAAAAACAACAACGTGTTCTCCGCCTACAACACAAAAACATGTGTTTCTCTTTCACGTGTTGTTTTTTTTTGCTCTTACTTTGACTATTGTCTTCTTCTTCTTTTCACAAACGCAACCCTTTTTTTATTTCCTTTTTCTTCTTATCCCTTTATCGACCTTTTCCATGTCGGTAATCATTATCACCGTACAAATACTCCCAAATTTGTATCACCGCACAAGTTTTCGATTTAATATAATATTTATGCAATTTCACAATTTAAGTTAATCAGAAATTAGGGACCGACATTCATACATTTCCCCGCCAAAAAACATTCATTTTTATATACCACTTTTGAATTTCCTTCGTTTAATTTAAAATGTATGCAAGGTGGAGCATAAACATGCAAGTGAAAATAAACCAAAGCTAATAACCAACTAAACATTAACCAACTTTATAACCTCTTATACTCCTTTTTAAACGAAAAATTAGGTTAGGAAGTCTAAAGACACACAATCTTTTGTTTTCAATTTCACTATGTTGATTCAAAGTAACTCAATGCTTTTGGTACAATTGTTTAAAGTTGAACCGGTGGATTAGTTGTTTAAAGACTTAACCAAGCTATCAAAGACTCTGTCGGAGAGGGAGTATTTTGCAAGAGCGAGACTTGTTATAAGGCATACAAGTTCTCGTTTGTTCTCTTCTCTGTTTCACGTCCTCTGTTTCATCTCCTTGGGCTCGTTTCAATTTGCAATTCGTGTGTGAATCGTCTCCAAATAGGTTACAATACACAATTTGTAAACCATTTCACCTATAACCTAATGTACTGTATCCAAAGTTGTGTTTAATCAATCCATGTCAAGATTCAATAACATTGTTAGGATATGTGTGCTAATTAAGATTTCGTAGTTACTTGCACTAGTTTCAATGTCCAACAAGTTTGAAGTATATGAATATATTTAACGACATTTAACTGGAGTACTAGATAAAATTAAAACATATCTTACTTTTAACATGAAAACAAATCGAGATACAAATACAATTGATAACAAAGAATAAACTACCTTTACATAACGCAAATTTGTTTCGGATCATTGGGTTTTGAGTTTGGCCAATGTTGGTGAAACTTCTAAAAAATCTGTACTGAATGGTAGGGTTGAAACGGAGCCGGATATCCGGACTTTTCAAGGTATCCGGATCTGGATCTGGATTCACCGGATATTCAATTTTACTATCCGGATCCTGATTCGAAAACTTCGGATATCCGAAGACGGTTTGAACTGAATATTTATGGATATCCGATCGGATATCCAGTTTCGTTGATTTAAAAAAAATCTTCAATTTTTAAAAATTATAATGAGATAACATATATAATTAAAATGTATCAATATAGCAAAAATTATAAATACCAAAAATTAAAAAGCATTCAAGTAGCATTCAAATAGCACAAAGTTTAAAAGTTTATATAACAAAAGAAAAAATAGTATTAGAGAAGTTAATTTATCTTCATATCAATGTGTTATCCATTTTCATGTTCTTTTCTCGTAATCTGAAATATAAAATTATCATGCAATATAAATTTCAATAAATATTATCAAAATAAATAAATACTTAATAAACGGATAACGGATAACGGATATCCGATTTCAAAATTTTCTACTATCTGGACTTGTATCCGAAATAACCGAATACTTAATTTTACTATCCGAATCCGGATCCGAATTACACAGATATTCGATTTTTACGGATGGGATAGGATCGGATACCAAATCGGATACCGGATACCGAATAATAATTCCAGCCCTACCGAATGGCTTCTTGGCCCTCGTCACTCTCAAAATTAGCCGGACTCAAAGTTTTAGTAAAAAGCAAAAACAAAAATAAACCAAAAACACTCTATCCTTTTTGGTTGATCACATTCTCTCGATCAAATTCTCTTGCACCTTAATTAGACTTCGAAATCAATGTAAGACAGTGACTCTTTGAGCAACATCAAATTCATGTCAATTTCAAATTGCATCTCAAATACGAGTCATGTTGAATTTATGAATCGAAACTAATCAGTATGAATATTTTTGGTATACAAGTTTATTGTCCCTTCCATAGACAATGATAAGAGTCCTTGTATCTCTGTTGACAAAAAAAAAAAAAAGAGTACTCGTATCTCTGTTGACAAAAAAAAAAGAGTACTCGTATCTCTTTGAGTTAAGAGGGGCAAATGTCATCTTTATAAAATCTAAGGTAACTAAAAAGCAAATTGAGAACTCATCTTCAAAACTAGCGATTCAAAACGCATGTCTAGACCACAAAACATGCTCTTATTTTCGGAGTCGAGGTACAACAGCTCAACCACGAACAGAACACACATACGCAATATGCTACTTTCAGGTGCATTTCAACTACACATAATATGATTTTTGTCAACGGTTCAATTCTCTTCCAAGCACTATCACCTTGTGTTTGCATTGCACCATAGACAAATTCAGAGGATCTAGAACAAACAAAAAATAGATAATACGATCTGATAATTATAATAAATTCGACCAATGCTCGATTCATACAAGTACATAGGCCACATTGTGTTTAGCTTTTCACTAAAGTTAGAAAGAATAAATAAATGAATTAATAAAGTTAAACAATGCTAAATCAAAGGAAGCCCTCCAAATTTCTATCTAAAATCTATAAGATGATCTTCTATATCTAGATGAACTGGCGCAACGGGATCAACATCACGCTAATATCATCCGATGAGCCACGTGAAGCCGAGAGATCGACAAGCTTCTTACAAGCTAACAACAATGGCTTCTTCTCGGTTCCTACGTAGAAAGGACGAGCAATATCTACTGCTTCTTGGTTGCTCACTTTGTCCCATAAACCATCCGATGCCAAGATCAAGAACTCGTGTTCCTGATCGATTCTCAACATCTTCGTCTCTGGTTCGGCTATAACCCATTTCTTGAGCTGAGCATCACCGATTCCTCTTGACACAGCTAAAGATCCCTGGATTCTCCAAACACCGTGGAACGTATCAACATATCCACCCTGCGAAAAGATTGATCTATTATTAGAAACTATACTCACAAATAAAACGTTTATAATACCAAAAAAGAGTCGAGATTCTCACCGTGGTTTCAATTCTTTTCCGTTCATCGTCTCTTGAGGGGCGGTGATCGGAAGAAAGAGCCTCCGCGACACCTCCTACGCTCATGACGGCGCGACAATCACCGGCATTGGCCACAACGAGTTTCCCATCGCTGAACATAGCCGTGACGCAGCAGGAACCGCCTTTAACGTCTTTCTCACTGAGAAACGCAACGTCTGTGTTTAAGTAACCGCGTTTCACCGCGTCTGCTATCTCTAACTCGTCTCTCTTACCAACTACCTCTTCTAAAACGTTCTTATCTAAATTCTTAGCCGCAAACTCAGCCGCTTTGACTCCTCCGTGACCATCGTAGACTCCAAATATCGCCTGAAAATTTGCACAAAACAGCGTTTAGAATCGCGATTCATCGACAATTTTGATGATTCGATTCAGAATTTCAATTTTCCCCAAAATAATTGACTCAAACCCTAATTAATCGAATACAAAAATCTCTAATTAGGCTAAATTCTCATCGAGATTTGAAAAATTGAAAAGGGGATTTTGAAGTTTACTTGTTTGTGATCTCCTTGAAGATTGGTGATGGCAGAGAAGCGATCTTCCATAGCTTCTCTTCTTCCTCTCTTACAATAAACAGAGTAACCATCGCCTTCTCTCTCTACCTCTCTGCTCTCCTCCCTCGGCGTCGCAATCGAGATCTCCGACGCCGGAGCTCCGAAACCAGCAGTACCAATCGGTATATCAAGCCTCGTCGGCCGTTTTCTCTTCAAAACTCCTCCAGGAGGAGATTGGCCGGAAACAGAGTCCGATCCAAAATTAAGCGGCGCAGGAGCGAAACCGGTCGGTGGTTTCTGGAAACGGAGACGGAACGGGGATTTGGGGGAAGCGGCGGCGGCGGAGGAAGGAGAGGAAGGAGAAGACGTCGAAGGTTTGAGATGGGAGAGAGTGAGAGAGATTGTTTCCTGCGGCGAAGAGAGTATAGAAGCTTTGTTGCAGAAGAGAGACGGCGACGGAGAAAACACCGGAGAATTGCAGACGGCGACGGAACAAGACATCGTTTTCGAATTTTGAAGATTGAGATTTTGTTTTTGGTTGAAGAAGATTGATCTGTATTTTCTTCTTCTTCTCTACCTCGTCGTTGAGATTTCTGTTTTTTTTTTTTGTTGTGACAAAGGAAGGAGAGAGAGAAGAAGAGGTTTAAATATAAGAGAGAAGGTGATGATTATTGAATGTTGAATGATAAATATAATTGAGTAGTCCGTGTTTATCGAGCCGCTTCTCTTTTATTCAAACTTCGAGTCTTTCTCATTGACTTCGAAAAAGACGTATATACCCTTGCAACGTCCATTCCTCTATTTACGGCTTTGTCCTTCTTCTCCAATCTCCCCCATAAAAACTACAAAGGATATTGACCAGCAAAAGAAAAAAAAAATGTCTTTTTATTTCTGTTGGAAAAAGAAAAAAATTAAAAAAAATCTCTATTTCCATTTTTTATAACATATTTCAATTAAGGAGTTTTTAGTAAAAAATTATATATATATTTATTCTGTAATTGTTGTGCAAACGTTTATTAACTTGTAAATGTTTTATCTTAATATTTTTACAAAACTAATATGATTGTGTTTAGAGATAGATTATGTTAAATAAATAGTATGTAAAATTGTTGGGAATATACTTATTGGTTTTAAGTGTTGAGATTATTTGGTTTTGTTGAAAAGTGAATTAATTTTTATCAAAAGTACCTACCCTAGTGGAATTTACTCTGCTCTCTCACAATGCATAAAATGTGCAAAAGAAGAGTCATTCAATTAAAAAAGAGTTATTCATTTAAAGTAAAAAAACAATTTATATCTAGTGAAAAATCCACTATTCTAGAAAATGAAGAAAAGGTCTTTAGGCAATAAACTTTCAAAGAAAAACAGCAAAAACAGCAAAACCAAAGAGAACCTTCGAGGACAAAACGGTCACTCACCGCCCCCCAAAACTAGAACGATGAAGTAAGCATTTTTTTGTGAGGATAAAATGGAAATTTCAGATTAAGTCAAAAACACGTCTAAATATGAAAGAAAAGAGTATTGAGGAATAATAAGTGGGCATGTGCTGTTGTAACTTGGTAACGTATCTGTGTTAAAGAAGTGTTTGATTGATGATGACTCATCACTTTTGTCAATCTGTAAGAGATTCTAAGACAATGTGGGTCCCGTAACTGCTTACACGTTGTAATTTGATTGGATGGAGATTTTCTGGTCGTAATCGCAGCTTCTTAGCAAGTGACCGTTGAGGACTGAGAGGAGCCTTCGTTGCTTGTTTCTTTCTCTGTTTCCATTTGATGACCGTTGTGAAATTAAAACGTTTTCTTGTCTCTTGTTAATCTCAATTCACACGAGGTCTTCTAATTAAAAATTCAAGTCTCCTTAAGAGTGTGTAACCTTTTTACGAGTTGTGACATCAATAACGGATAGTTTCATACGAAACGGTATTCGTTTTTAAAGAATTTTATTGATTTCTGTGCTTTTTTGTTTTTTGTTCAAAATTTCGAATTGTGTGCTAAAGATGAAACTTTGTTTTCCATGGACAAGGGCTGAAGAAGTTCTTTGAATATCTCTACTCATATCAAATATTCTACTTAGTTTTCTTGGATATTTTCAAGATTTTATATTCGAATACGTGTGTAAAAGTTAGTAATTATTATGTATCCATAAACACGAATTGAAATACATGCGTTAACAATTTGTGTTGGTGTGGAATAAGTTGTTTGCAATTTTTTTTATTTGTAATAGTAGTGTTTTCAGAAAATATTATGACTGAATTTAAACATTGATTATTCGAGTACATACGTGCTTATTCTGATTTTTCCCCTCTATCATAACCTTTTAATGGAATTTTCTTTGACCCTAGGCTTGTAATTTGTTCTATATGACAATCTATTGATTTTGTATTAAAAAAAATAATAATAATTAGTATGCTAATTTGATAAGACCAAAATTCGGTATCAATGATTTTGTTCGTGATGTTAATGAAACCTCACTACTAATTTTACCTTGCAACAATATTTTACCGTCTACAAATTTCTCACTTGTCATGAATACAAAGCTAGCAAACAGCTTTATTTGTTACAACAATGCTTTGACAATCTATTGATTTGAGTATAAATTCATAATTTGATTTTTTTTTTGGTGGCTTTTTAATCACGCATAAGTTACTCAATCACTCCATTAATAGTAAATATTCTAAGTAACCAAAAATAAATACATTTATATTTCTCTGCACATACTTGTTTAGATATTATTTCGCTCGTTCCAACTACGACTAAAGCGTTGTGATGGCAATTCGGTAGGTCATGCATTATACTTTTAAAATAGCAATTAGATATATATCACTTCAATATGAGCAAATTGCTACGAATTGAAATAATCAGTAGTTTGAAAATTACATCATGATATGATTGTCTATTAACATGTTCGCATACTGTTCATGTTAAGCTGAAGAATGAGTCATATATAAAAGTCCTACTTTTACGATTGGACTTGGTCACTAAGATTAGTATAAATTCGTTGACCAAATATAATTAATCAAGCAAATTAGAACATTCCCACTCCATAATTGTAGTTCTTAGATGTCGGCCGTTTTTTTGTTTCTTATTGGTTTTGGTTAAAACTGGTAGTCCGTTGTTTCATCTTGAAATTGTCTTCAAACTTCCCTCCTTTTTTTTCTTGGCGTTTATAACTCACACATTTATGCTTTACAGCTTTACAATTATATTTGAACTCGGATCATGAAATAGTGGTGGTATTTTATAATTTTAGTATTTTTGAGATTGCAACTCAAAGTATTAAATGTGTAGTTTCGATCGTAAGAGAGTTATAAAGGCGTCCAATAAGTAGGAACAAGCGGAGCTATAATTTTTCTTTATTGGAGACATAAATAAATGGATGAGTGTGTATATATGATTTTATAAAAGAGGAGAGGATATTAATATTGGGTTTTATCAAGTTACATCAATTTTAAAAAAAAATTATTGGAGACTAATGATCTTTAACTTAATACATGTGACTCCACCACTTAGATATTGGTACTTTAAACTACTTGCTGATCAAATTGCATCCAATATATTTTTTGTATTTTTGAGATTATAACTCAAAGTATCAAATGTGTAATCATATATATTATATTATAAACAAAGTAAACTTTTAGTTTTAAATCTTCTCTTTCATTCTCAGTATGGTTAATTATCGTTTTACCTTTAATGAAAATACAATATCTCTTTTATAATTTTTTTTTTAATTTTAATGTATCTAATTATATATGAATTTAACAATTAATTCATTGTAATTATTTGGGCTTTGCCCGTGTGGTGTAATTATTTTAATTGTTTGATATCTTATTAAGCTATATATATATATATATATATATCAATGGATTTTCAACGAAACCCTAGCACCCTCATATAGCTATATATACCTCTCTTGGTTTCAAAGTTTTGTTAGATTCATAGTTCTAAACTTTAGTCTTCGCTCAGTTTATATTTATCATTTCGTTATTCATTCCTCGATATATATATATATATATATGTTTTGTTTTTCATGCAAAATATTCAGTTTTACTTCTTATGTCGATCGTTGCTTCATTTATCGTTACTTACCTTTACCGTAAGATCATACATCACTTTGTCATGTGGACATTTTTTGTATCTTGTCAGTAATGTGGCTGATAAACGAACCTTCGTATTACTATTTGGATATGTTTTGGTCTTTGTTTATTTTTGTTTTCTATAAGCTTTACTTCTTATGTTGATTAGTTTTGATTTTCACTGTTTTTTTTTGGACTTTCGTTGGCTTCATTTAGCATATATCGTAAGTAGCGTAGTTGATAAACAAAATTTAGTATTTATATTTGGATATGTTGTGGTTTTTGTGTTTTTACACTATCTCAAACGCCTTTTAACCCAACACAAGTTCTCTTTGATCCACCGTCCCAACAGTTTCAGGACTTCAGATCCTTGTGAGTTTTATTACTTTATCGTATGTTTATACAATTCATCTAATTTTGTGTATAACTATTTTAAATTTTTTTAAAAATTGATGATATATATATACATAGGTATGCCTAAAGACAATAGTACTCGAAGTTTGCCCTCATCAATAACCAAAACTGACTCTTGGCATTATGAGTTCTTTGGAAATTATCCAAGAAAGGCCATTCAGGGAATTATCTATGCCACTGAGGTACTATTTGTTTATTTATTATAGTAGTTTAACTAATATAAAATCGTTACTTGTTGGGTTTAAAATTATTCTATTTGGGTTTAAAATTATTCTATTTAGGCCATTAAGTGTGTCCTTGCTGCAAAGGTGGAAGTGGTATTATATTGCTTTCACAACTTGCAATAGAATTAAAGAAGGAAGAATGAATTTCTTTGGCGATTGCATAAAAGTGGCACATCACAGAAGACATCTTTGATCATATGAGTTTATGGAAGCCAGCATTAAAGGAAATGGCGTCTGAAAAAGACAAAGTTGGATGACCATTTATAGAGATCGAAAAAGATTGTCGTTTTCAAGATATTCCTGTTAGAAAGTCTTTCACAAATGGTTAGAGAAATGCTCATTTGTGATCACTTCCACACTTGAATTCAAGATCATTTTTTCTTCTTTTTTTTACTTGAAACCTCTAATGAGGAAAAGACAGCTATAAAACCAAAAACGGTGCATTGTAAATTGATACAGTTCTTAAAGATATGATGTTTTAATTGATAAGACAGCCATATATATGATGTTTTAATTGATAAGATTTTTCTTAAAAAACTACCTAGTTTCGTTATAAAAAAGTTATAAAGGCATCTAACAAGTAGGAACAAGAGGATCCATGATTTTTTTCATTAAAGACATAAATAAATGACTGTAGGTATATATGATTTAATGAAAAGGGAAGGAGAGCATTAATATTGGGCTTTCTTAAATTATACCAATATTTTAAAAATTTATTGGAGTCTAATGACTTTAACTTAATAATTTAGGTATTAGGTATTGGTGGCTTTTAGCTTTAACAATATTAATAGGAATATTTCAGATTTAAATGGTTTTTTTTCCATTGGATACTGAGATAGTGAGATAAAAAAATAATCAATGATTCGACTATGAAGTGAACAATTTGACGAGACTTCA